TTTTTTTTTAAGAAATATATGAAATGAATAAATATACGCAAACATTTATTTGTTTGAATCACTTATTTCAAGGCTCATGAAGACAAATTATGCACAAAAACTAGATTTTAATATGGAAAAAAAAACCTTTTTAAAAATAGTCTTAGTACAACGTATTGAAATGCTGTATAATTGCAGAGGAACTTTAAATATTTAAATTTAAATCTATTTTGTGCATAATACAGTTGGCAGGCTCCAACTCCAAATGACCCGAGACCGTTTTTGTGAGCTTCACATAATAAACTATGACAATCCTAAAGACGAAAGATTCAGTCTAAACATGCAAAGGCACGTTTAAAGCAGATGGAGTTGCTAGGCAACACTGCAGTGATTGCGCTCACATTCTCTGGGTCTCTGGCAGTGAGCTGATATTGCCTCTGCTTATGGTAATAGTGGGGATTTTGGGATGCACGGGCAGCTCTGGTGCACAGGTGAGGCCGCTGGGTTTAGCGCAGCTCTTTTTGAAACTCACTTTGACGTCTCTGGGGTAAAAACCCTGCAGGACGCCGGCCGCCACGATATCAGGGAGATCTGGGGGGAAATGACCACAACAGAGTGTTTCTCTTGGCTGCAATCAACACATTTCTGTAATGACACAATCACAGTAATCTAATCAGGTTTACCTGATCTGGATTCAAGCTGGTAAGGGTCAGTCGAGAAACCAACTACTCGCTGATGGAATAACTGAAATCTATAGGAAGACAATGTTCAATGTCTATTTAGAATCAATTGATCTAAATCTGAGTCCAAATGAGGGCTGAATTTATGGATATGAATTTATTGAAGAAATGAGGATGAACATACCTGTATCCCTGCTCTTGACAGTCAACTGACAGGTTTTCACTGAAATATGACAATTAGGAATAACAAGCCAGAAAGCAGTGTTAACAGAATTATTAGTTTACTTCTTGTTACTAATTTAACTGAATTTTCCAGTGAAGTGATCTGGTGTAAATACATACTCAGAGCTGCAGTTCTTGCTCGCCGAATGAAAAT